CACCTTCCTGTGGACCAGTCATCTCTGGGGCAACTCGCAGCTGGTAAACGGGTGTATTTATCCTCATTGTGCGTAGGGCTAGCATTACTTACCCTACGTTGAGAATCCCCCCACCAGGGGGGAGGAAAGAACGCGTCCTCAGTTTCCCCAACTTCTCTGGTGTGGCGTGTGAAGCTCTAGGCCAGCAGAGGGCGCTGGAGACAGCTGGCAAACCTCGGGGGTTAGTTGCCTCCTGACACCAGCCAGGGTTTCAGGTGACCAGCCAGGTGGTGCGGCCTTCGGGCACAGGCCTCGTTGGGGTTTGGGGCGAGTAATGAGCACAGAAACCTCCGAGCTGCCCTGTCTGTCTACAGTCCTGCTCTTCTCAAACTCACTCTCCAAACCATAGCCAGAAAGATCTTTCTCTACCTCAATGGCTTCCCACATTCCCTTAGGGAAAAATCTGCACCAGAAAGAAAAGCTGTTGGCAAACATCTCCAGCCTCATTCTTCACAGCCCCCCGGCTTCACAGGTTATAGTTCAACAATGCTGAGCCGTTTTCAAGACCCGCATTCCCGGGGCCTGTCATCCTTCTAGAGCTATGCACAAGCCACACATTCTGCCTTGACCCTCTTGCTCCTGGAAGTCCCTTCCCGACTAACTTCTCTTCCTTCAGCTCCCAGTTTAGATGTTGCATTTTCTGGGAAACCTTCCCTGTTCCCCTAAGGTGGGAGTACAAACCCTTCCCACGCGCTTCCGTGCCCTGCTGGGCACCGGTGTGGCCCTTGGGTTAGTGTGCAGCAATAGTGTGATTCTTTTCCCTCTGTTAAACTGTAGGCTCTCCGGTCCTCTGACCCCGGGGTCTCTAAGGTCCTCCCTCGGTCTCCTCCAGGGATCTGCCCTATTTCAGCCACTTACACCCCTGCACCTCTGATGGCTCCTTGCTCCGTACCTTCCTCAAGGCACGACTCGGTAGGAACTATTTGGTCAATGACAGTTATCAAACGATTTACTCTGCAGCTCTGTTTATGACTGTGTCATTCGTGAGACACCCGTGGGCCTTGTCAAAACGCAGGTCCCTGGGCCCCGCTCTCAGAGACTGTGCTAGATCTGGGCTGGGGCCCAGGAGTCTGCATTTTAACAGCTCTCTAGAGTGATTCTTATGCATATTGAAAATTGAGAACGGCCTCAGTTTCGTCAACAATGGAGAAAATCCTCTCTGTCCTTGTGTTGCCACCACTGACTGACTACAGACAAAACTCCTGTCCAAGAATTTCTCAGAGCATGGATGTCCTCCAGGGGAGGCTGAATGGGTCTGGTGGCCTTTCCAGGACAGGTTCTCAGTGCCGTCTAATCCTACCCACCCGAGACCCATCTTCCAAGGGAACCGCCTCTTTGCCTCTGGCCTGGTCACGGTGGGACAGACCCTATCAGCTATGGGTGTGAAGATGGGACAGTGGGCTTTGTTGCCGAGGGAGAGAGGCTTCCTGCATGGAAGCCAGCCTCTGTCCCAACTTCCTTGGCTTTTTTCCTCTCCATGTGTGTGCCAAGCACTTTGCAAATGTGATAATGAAGGGTCTAATTTGCTGTGCTAACAGGTAAGACGAGGCAGCTGAGTGGTGGGGCTCCCTGGGAAAGCAAATGTCAGCTGTTGCACATGCATATCAGTCCCTCATTTCCCCTTCCTGGGCTGCCCCCCACTCAGCTTGAATTAATTAGGCTGCTAGCACTCCATAATGAAGGCTAATAAATGGCTAATGGATAGTCTTGAACAAACAAGCCCTAAGCAGTATAGCAAAACCTGGATTCCCTGCCCCTTGGGAATGAGGCCCGTGCTGGGAGCCGGGACAGGTGAAATGACTCTCAGCAGCTGCCCAGGCACCTGAAGCTAGAGCCTGGGTCATGGGGCCCACACGGCCACCCATGGTCAGGATAGGCCTTTACAGCTAAGGCTCCTAGACTGGCCACACCTTGTTAGGAGAGACGGGACAGCAGCTGCAACCAGTGAGCCCATCCACCCACCCCCCCACCTGATAAGAAGAGTTGGGAGAGGGCAGTGTCAACCTCCCCCAAGGCACTCTTTTGTACTCTCAGAATAATCTAGTTTCAAAGAAGAGAACAGATGGATCACATTTTCCTAACTTTTAGCTGGTTCCAATGTGCAAACAGTTAAGATCATAATGTTAACATTTTCTCTGTGTTTTATGTGCATATAAAATATTCCTGAAGAATGTGCTTTTGAATGCAAAGTTTGATCCAATTACAATTTTATAGAGTTTATAAAAACATAAAAAATATGTTTTCTGGGTGTCTGAGACCCTGCTGGCCTTTACAGTAAACTTGGAAGCTCATAGGGAACCTAATTGCCACCATGTCAAAGGGGGCCCCTATGGAGCTTAAAATGATGAGCCCATTATGTAAATATGGAAACATCCCATAGTCTCTTGGGGTGAATGAGATACTGATGAATGGAATTAAAAACAATCTTGTGGTCTTGGATCAGATTGGAAATGGTTGTTGTTTTCTGTCTTTGAAGAGCCGTAAAAAAATTAAAAAAGAAAAGAATCTTGCAAACTTAACTTCTGTGGTTTAGAAGCCATAAGGTGGCTCCATGCAAAATCAGGCAGTGGGGCAGAAGAAACAACCCCGTAGCAAAGAGCACAGATCAGAAAATCCCTTTTCATCATGCACTGTGAAGTCAGCAGGACAGGCAGGAAGCTTGTACTGGAGGGCGAGGACGGAGAGCAAGGGACTGCTCCCAGGAATGGGGGCCCCGACATTCGCAATCTCATTTTCATTGTGCCTGGGCAAATAACTTAGCAATTTGGGCCTTGACACCTTCTTCAGAAAAAAAGAGGGTTAGGTTTGAGATCTCTCTTCTAGATGTAAAATGCTGTGACTGCTCTCTCCCCACCCTGAGGACTAATTACAAGCTGCTCCAATGCAGGAGACAACCAGCAGTAGCATGTCTGGAAGGAGGCATCCATTAAATTAAAGGATGTCCAGAACCGGGTCCCCAATCAGAGGACTTCGTTCTTGGAAAATAAAGTTGCATAACAAGCCCATATGTGAGCAGGTTTGCCTGCTTTATTTTCTGTTCCCATGTGTAAGTAGTTTGTATCACATTAACAGCCCATTCACATTAAGAGATGTTGATTAGGAATAGCTCCTGATACCACAGTGGGAGCGTGCACAGGATTGTAAAGAATAGTTTTGTTAAGTAAATGTGGACTGGATTTCTTTCCAGGGACTGGTCCAGTGCCAGCAGCTTCCCTGTGGCATTCAGATGCTGTACAAGGCAAGAATTTTTCCCATTGTACACATCTGGGGCAGGTCTCCTAGCTCTGGAGGAACCCAAGGTTGTCCAAGGAGAATTGCTTTCATTGCACTGATTTGAAACAAGCAATATCATTGATTAGGAGCATTCTCAGCTCTCAGAACTGGAGGAAAGGTAGAGATTGTCATGTCTTGTATACAAAGAAAATGCACGAGGCTCAGAGAGGTCAAGAAACTTGGGAAAAGTCAAACAGACTCTCAGGTCAGGACACCTGCTGGCCTCTTTCATATACATATGTAGAGTTTGAGGAGAACCAAGTGGCTGGAGCCAAATGAGGGAGGTGGGCATATAGGTTTCTTAAGGCTGCTGTACCAATTACCATAAACTTGGTAGCTTAAAACAATGGAAGTTTATACTCTTCAAATTCTGAAGCCTGAAAGTCTGAAATCAATGTGTCAGCAGGGCCACATTCCCTCTGAAGGCTTTAGGGGAGAATCCTTCCTTGTCTCTTTCAGCAAGTGTGGCCCCAACCATTCCTTAGCTTGTGGCAGCAAAACCCTACTCTCTGCCTACCTGTTTTTACGTGGCCATCTTCTATGTCTCTCGGTGGTTCCTCATCTTATGAGGACACTAGTCATTAGATTTAGGCATCACCTTAATCCAGTGTGATCCCATCTCAGTCCTTAACTAATGACACTTGCCCCTTTCCAATTGAGGTCACATTCTGACGTTGTGAGTGGACATGAATTTTGGGGGAATGCTATTCTACCCACCACAGGTGAGTGGTAGGAAAAGAAGCCAGAGAGAAAAGCAGGGTCCTAGCTGTTTCTGAAACTTGCCAAGCACCTTCCCTCTGCACAGGGTCGGCACTAGATGCTCTTCCTCCAGATGTCTGTGTGACATCTCCCCACCCCCTTCGAGCATTCTTTGCAACCCATTTTGGGTCTTTTTCTATTTGAGAAGAGAAGTCTTTAGAGGATTTTGAGCAAAGGAGTCACATGGTCCGGTTGCTGGGTAGAAAATTAGCCGCAGGAAGTTAAGGGTAAAAGGAGAGTGACGTGGCTTTTGTCCTCCATCAGGGGAAAGGGTGGAAGTGCTGGAAACGTAGGATTCTGAATGTATTTTGAAGTTCTAGCTGGAGTTTTGGCCATTCAAATTTGAGAGGCCTACTGGACGCCCGGCTGAGGTGCCGACTAAGCAGTCGGGTTTCTAAACCTGGAAGGGCGGGCAGAGGTTGCGGTGGGGATGCATCTGGGAGTCACAGCAGTTAGACTGTATTTAGAGCCCCGTCAGCAGACGAGGTCGCCCTGGGAGCAGAGTGGCGATGAAGAGCGGGGTGAGGACTGTGTGCTGGGACCCTGCTTCCTGCAGAGGCCAGGAGGACGAGGACCCCGCGAAGGAGACTGAGGCGAAGCGCCCGGGAGAGAACGCGGACAGGGTTAACGCCGGTCCTGGAGGCCGGCCGGAGGGAGGCTTCAAAACGGAAAGATCAGCTATGTCAAAATGGGCTAACAGGTGAAAAAGAAGGAGGCCTAATGATAGTAGGGCCCGCGGTGACCCTGACAAGAACAGTTCCGGTGTGAGGACTGCGGAAGCGCAAGCGCGACTGAAGGACTGCCCTGTGGGATTTCCAGGTCAGTTAAGTGTCCCAACCAATCAGCGAGCTCCCTCCTAAGTGTCCCAACCAATCAGCGAGCTCCCTCCACGCGCCAGCTGCTCTAGGGAACAAGTGACCTCACCTCGGGCAGGGAGACCAGGGGAGCTGGCTGAGGGGCTTAGGGGAAACTGTGTCCTCGTGCCCGGAAAGGGAAAGCTCCTCTTTCTCTTGGCCTGTGGAGACGACTCTGGCTTAGCCGAACACGGGGAGGGCCGCCGCCCGGCCTCTGCCTCCCGCCCACCCCGCAGGCCGACTCCCTGCCCCGGGTCCGAGTCAGGGGCCCCGGGCGCATAAACCTCCGGCAGCCGATAGCCTCCACTGGACCGCGCGGCCTCCTGGTGTGCGGCGTCAGCTCCACCCACTCACATCTGGTTCCGGGGTCGCGCTTCCTGCCACTTCCGGTTTGAAAAGGGGCCTCTTCGCGCAGGGAAAACCCCCCTGGCCCCAGGTGCTGAGGGTGGTGTGGAGGAGTCTCGGGCCCCACGGTGGCCCAGGAGACGCGTTCTGGAGGGACGGGGTCCAGCCAGGGGCCTCAGCAGCAGGTGGAGAGAACCGGCCCCTCCTGCCCCGCAGCCTCCCCGGAGGCTCTTGAGACCCGAGGACTTCACAGGCCATGGGGACGCTTTCCACGCACGCAGGCCAGCTACGTGGCGTGAGCAGCGAGGGGTGAGAGGTTTCGTTCTGAGGGAGGAAGCGTAGTGGAGGACGGGGCGTCTGGCCCGTGATGACACGATAAGGAGCTAATGGATGTGAGCTGTGTCAGGGACGCTGAGATGGCAGCCGGGATAAACCTCCAGCCAGATGGTGCTCAGACAGTGCAGGAGGGTCCCTGGGCTCCAGCCAGCCTCCCTCGCTTGGGAGGCGTTCCCAGTCTGTGGCCTTGGGAGCAGGTGGGAGGGGGACAGGGAACTGGAAAGGAACACGTGCCACGGGGAACGTGTGTTCCTCCCCTCGGCTCCTCCTGGGGCAGTGGGGTCAACAGGACTGACCTCTGCGGGAGGTTTGTCTGGTCCTTCAGGAGACTGACCCATTCCCAGGTGCCACGTCAGGAACCCAGGCTCCCAAAGTGAATGAATTTCCAATGAAGTGACACAGTTTACTAAAAGTCAGTGGAATAGCCCACATTGAGAGTTAGGGGCCAGTAGGAAAAAAGAATAATGGGAAGAGTTCCTCTCCCTGAAGCTGGACGTGTGCAGCGTCCGGTTCAGCTGTTTCGAGCAGAGCTTGGCGGAAATGTGGATTTGCTCTCTAGAAGCAAGGATGGGCAGTCTGTGTTTGCTTGCTCAGTAATTTTAGGAAACAAGTCTTGGTTACTTGTGGCACTCCCGCTTCCAATTTGCTTCTCCTACCTGAAACAGGTCATTTTTTTTTTTTTTTTTTTTTTAAAAAAAACGGGTCATGTTGGCTGAAAGCCATGCCGTCCCTCTCTGCACCCTGGGGAGTGGGGGCCATGCGGGAGAGAGGAAAAGCCAAACAAATGCAGTAAGTGGATTTACAGTATGTGTTTGGCAGTTGCCGGCATCTCAAGAAGCTATCAAAACAAGCATCTTTGTGGAGCAGGACAGATACTCTCCAGGCCAGAGCAACTCACCAGAATTCTTTTCCCAAAAAGATTCTGGGAGAGGGAAGCTCCTTAGTGTGATGCTCTTTCTTATTCTCTTGCTCAGACTGCAGGTCACCAGCCTCACCCGAGTCTTTCTTCCTCACTGCTTTTCTGTCCCTGCAGTGCATTGCTCTGCAGTGACAGGAATGGCAGAGTGATCATCCCCTCCTCTATATCACTCCATCCAGTAACCTTCCAACTCCCCCCCTACTCCCAGGCTCCCACACTGAGCTCTGGAACACTAGGGTAATTTGAACCTGCATCTGTGGATTGTTCGTCTGTGTTTACAGATAGAAGACAAGCTGCAAGAAACAGGATTGGATTTGTTATTTGTAAGTCAAACCAGCTGTGATCTCCTGTCTGTGGCTGCTTCCTTTGCAAACACCAAATGTCACTTGTGGTTGGAGCTACTTTTCTTCCCAGAGAATAGTGTTCCCCTCATGTGGTCAGCTTTCTTCCTGTGCCTCTTCCCCCACCAGCTGCTCCCCCGCAAGGTGTCAGTCTGCTGGTTCAGCTGGGTCACTGTCCCAGCTGGCTCCAGGAGCTAGGGCACCCTTGGAAGGCTGTTCGGCTTGGGTACCTTTTCTACTTTTCTTTTAGAAATCAACTAGAAGTTCATTTCCCTGAAGTCCTAAATCAAGAATCACTTTGGGAAGAAAAAAAAAAAAAAAAGGAACCCTTGGCCCATTTCCCCCTTCTTTGGGGGGGGTTTCGGGTTGGTTTTTTCCTTTTGGGATTACTTGCTTTTCAATTTTTTATTTTTATATTGTTATACAAAGCTTTTTGTTTTTGTTTTTTTTTGTTTTTCTTTTTTTCTCTTTTGTGTGGGTTTTTTTTGGGCTGTGGGAGGGTTTTGTTTTCTCTGGGGTTTTTTATGTGCATTTTTCTTTTGTGCGTGTTTTTTGTGCTCTTGTTTTTTGTGCGTGTGTGTTCTCTGTGCACACACTCTCTTTTTAGGGGTGTGTAGAAGCAGCATATATTCATGCACAAAGACTGGTTATATTCCCTCATACTATCAGTCAACGGCCAGTTGAAGCTTATAGATAGTGCAATGGGAACTCAGTGCAGGCAGTCACAGTAGGCTGGGGGTGATCAGGGTAGGCTTCATGGTGGAAGCAGGACTTGAACTAAGGCCTGAAGGAGTGGCCCGATGCTGATAATAAAGGGATATGGAAAACATGGGGGGTGGGTGTTGGTAAAAGTTCAACAATTAACTCCTTCCTACTTCTACCAAAAAGACCTAATGTCCCTTGTGTTGGCCACTTGTGTTTATAGTGCTGGCCAATTTCCATGGTGTAAGTACAACCACCATGCCTACTTTCATGGTCAATTTCAAGATACCAATGTGAAGTTACTGAATAAGGAGTCAGGAAGAGATGTTGCTGTGGTTTGAATGTATCCCTCAAAGTTCATGTGTTGGAAACTTGTTGCCCAGTGTGGCAGCGTTGAGAGGTGGGGACTAATGGGAGGTATTTGAGTCTTGGGGGCACCACCCACATGAGTGGATGAATGCTGTTATCTCAGGAGTAGGTTCCTTATAACAGCATGTGTTTGACCCCCTCTTGTCTCTCTCTCATCCTCTCTATGCCCCTCTGCCATGTTATGACACAGCAAGAAGGCCGTTGTCAGATGCTGGCTCCTTCATCTTAGCCTTCTCAGCTTCTAGAATCATGAGCCAGTAAACTTCTGCTCATTATGAATTACCCGGTCTGTAGTAGTCTGTTATAGCAGCACAAAATGGACTAAGATGTGTAGTAGTGCACTATTATGTAGCATTTTTTGCCAGACAGATACAGTAGAAGAGATATGAATAAATGGAGTAAAATAATTAGTAAGTTATCAGTTTTGAGTATAATTACCTTTGCTTTTAATATCATTTATATAATCATGAGTGTATATAACTTTTTAAAAATGATGGCTTGGCTTAGTAATCAGCTCACAAAATTCCTGAATATTTATTTAATGACCGGCTCCCATGAGCTGGTGGGAGACAGCTCCAGCACTCCACTGGGGGAGCACACAGAAGCAGGGCATGGTGATTCATTTGGGGAGTATGGTGGGTATAGTGCCTAATGAAAAGGCTTTGATAGCACTGACGATGATTTGTCTAGCCAAATGTTCTTGCTCACATTCTATTTTCTTCTCAGCTGGATATAATCCTAACAACTCAAGTTGCTAGAAATCCCAGCTGCCTGCCTCCAGAGCTTTATAGAAAAGTCTTATAAATAGAATTTTTAAATTATTATTATTTGAGACCGCACAAAAGATGGCTATTGAAACATCTATGATCAAAAGTCACTTTTTTGGATAAGGAGGACTTCCTTAACCACTTCAGTACTGTGCAGCCATGAAACCTTGCCCACAGCCAGCACTCATAGTCCGGACGATAGTTTGTGCTGTACATTGACCAATGAATCCATTTTGCTCTTGTGTGATGAGGAAAGCTTTAAAGCACTGAAAGCTTGTTTTACTTTACAGGCAGCTTGAGGAAAATAACTATAATAACTCCTACTAAGGACTTGTTAAAAGGTCACAGATTCGTAGTAACTTATTAGCTGAACCTACACACTGCAACTGCAGAGATAAAAGCTGTACAAATAAAAGCTTTTGACTGTCGACTAAAGTCGATGCTCGGGTGTGTGCCTTCATATCAAGGCTGTTGGCTAAAGTTGACACTCGGCTGTGCGTGTTTATCTGTGGCTGTCGACTATAGTCGATGCTCGTACAGAAGTGGCTAAGGAAACAGGCCCCAACTTCTGCGCCCTTTTTCTTTGGTCTTATGGCTTACTGTGCTGGGACCTGATAGAACACAGTTGGAGGAAAGGGTCACCATGCTCCCACCTTTCTGAACATGGGGAGAGAGGCCCCAGGGTGGCTGTGCTCACACTGTTCCGGGAGGAGGGGTCTTAAACGAGACCTGTGCTCACTCTGGATTCTCTAACCCATTTAAGGTGACTTCTGGACATCATTACATGGATGTTAAGCCCAGAAATATGAGTACAGATGGCACTTTAAAAGAAAAAGAATGAATTAGTCTGTTTAGACATTAATCCATGAATTGTTTCCATGTTCCAATTGCTGTCCCAATTGCTATGTGCCTCTCTTAGGATGGGAAGGGATATTGATGGAAATGATTTACCAGGGTGACCAGGCTGTGCTTTAAATCCTACCACTAGAAGGTTCTGTTGCAATTCTGAAGGCCTCTCACCTCAAGCTCTTCTGAAGCCCCTTAGTATTGCATCTATAGGCACTGGTCACATTCCCCCTTGCAGTATGGTGCATTATTTCCGTACTGATTGTTTTCTCCATTGCAATGGTGGGAGAAGAGCCAGCACTAGGTTCTGGTGATGAAAAGAGAAGTAGAGTATAAGTGGGGCAGAGAAGAGGTCTGAGGACTTAGCTCTGGGGCAGATGAGGAGGATCCCACAAAGAGACTGAGAAGTGGCCTGTGACTTAGAGGAGAATGAGGAGAGATGAATTCTTGGGAACAAGCACAGAACATTGTTAAAGAGGGCTGGGTGCAGTGGCTCATGCCTGTAATTCTGGCACTCTGGAAGGATCACTTGAGGTCAGGAGTTTAAGATCAACCTGAGCAAGAGTGAGACACCATCTCTACCAAAAAGAGAAAAAAATTACCTGGGCCTGGCGACGCATACCTGTAGTCCCACCTGCTTGGGAGGCTGAGGCAGGAGGATCCCTTGAGCACAGGAGTTTGAGGTTGCTGTGAGCTAGGCTGACACCACTGCACTCCAGCCAGGGCAATAGAGCAAGACCCTGTTTCAAAAACAAAACAAAACAAAACAAAAACCTCTCCAAACAAACAACCAGAACAACAATAACACTTTTAAAGCGGATGTAATTCAATTTTGTTAAATGCTGGTGGAAGTTGAAGTAAGAAGAGTACTGAGAATTGACTTTCAGGCTTGGCAAAGTGAAGGTCACTGGTGACCTTGTGTATTAGTCAGAGTTCTGTAGAGAACCAGAACAAATAAGGTGTATGTGTGTGTGCTTGTATATGTATAAACAGAGAGAAATTTATTTTGAGGAATTGGCTCATGTGATTGCAGAGTCTGGCAAATATAAAGTCTACACAGTGGGCAGACACCCAGGGGAGACCGAGGGGATGGGTCCAGTCTGACGGCTGTGTGCTGGAGGATTCCTTGTTGCTCAGGGGAGGTCAGTCTTTTGTTCTATCCAAGCCTTCAACTGATTGGAGAAGGCCCACCCACATTAGAGAGGGCAGTCTGCTCAAATCAAAGTCCACTGATTAGGTGTTAATCTCATCCAGAAAGACCCTTAGAGAAACATGCAGAATAATGTTTGGCCAAATATCTGGGCACCGTGTTCCAGCCACATCCACACGTAAAATTAGGCACACACCTTGACAGTAATAACTTTGGTGAGGTCCTGGGGGCAAAGGCCTTATTGAGTGGGTTCAGGAGAGAATGGGAGGAAAAGAAAGGAAGGTAGGGAGTAAGGACAGCTCTCTCAGGAATTTTGCTGTAAGGGGAAATAGAGAACTGAAGCAGCAGCAAGAAAGAATTTATTTGGAAAGAGGAAAGTGATCATAGGATTTTGCATATTGATGAGAATTTTCCAGTAGGAAGAAAACCCGCTGACGCAGAAAAGAGAGAGGAGAACTGCAAGAAAGGAGTCTTTGATTAGATAAGAGACAACAAGATTTGGGGATGGCTGCAGGGGTGGCCTTATGGCTAGATTTGGTAGCAGGGACATGTGGAAGTCCTCTTCTGATTGCTGTAGTTTTGTAAGGGAACTCACAATCAAAATGATTTTTTAAGGATGGGCTGGGAGATGTGGGGAATAGTGTAATATAGAAATTGGCAGCAGAGACTGGGTTGCAAACTCGGGAAAATAACATATTTGGAATTGAGTAGACTGAGAAAGTGAAAAAGGCAGTGGGTCTCCCTCACTGCTGCAGCGTTCTCAAAGGGAAGAGTAGGAGAGGAAAGATGAGGTGAATGCAAGCTCAAGCACTTCTTGGCCAGGGGAACGCTGAGGGAAATACTGACACCCTATCAGAGAGGAGCGTCAATGAAACAAGGTCCCAGGTTGTAGGGACTGAAACCTTTTCCTATCGAGCATTGTAGTCAATGGGGAACTTGCATAATGTCCTACTTATTGTAGACTCTCAAAAATTTGAGCAAATGTGTAAGTGGTTTTCTTTATTTAGTGACATGGGCCAGGTGCCATGGCTCACCCCTGTAATCCTAGCACTTTGGGAGGCCGAGGAGGGAGGACTACTTGAGGCCAGGAGTTTGAGATCAGTCTGAGCAAGAGTGAGACCCTGTCTCTACAAAAAAAAAAAAAAAAAAGAAAGAAAGAAAAATTAGCCAGGTGTGGTAGCATGTGCCTATAGTCCCAGCTACTCAGGAGGCTGAGGCAGGAGGATTGCTTGAACCCAGGAGTTTGAGGCTACAGTAAGCTATGATGACACCACTGCACTCCAGCCGTGGCGACAGAGTGAGACCTTGTCTAAAAACCAAACAAAACAAGAAAACCCAACAACCAGAATAAATGTAGGGAAATAAAATCTAGGCACATCACAGACAAACTGATAAAACCAAATTTAAAAAAATAAATGATACAGAAAAAGATGTAAGTCTAATCCACTAAACGTATTCATCACCTGCTATGTATCAGAGGCCATGCAC